GCCGGTACTCTTCAACTTACGACTGTGATGGAACCTGCCTATTATGACCACAAGTCATGATGATCAGTAAGCAAGGTACACACCTGATCACCTTGCTTAACAATCCCCATCCCTGCTCTGCCCGAGTGTTAAGCAAGCAGACTGGCAATTAAGCAGAGCATGGTGTGTCCCTTGGTTGGGGGAGACCCTGGGAAGCCCAGGCATGTGCTGCAACACTTTTACAGCCCACTCGTGGCCTGCCCCGGGCCTCCCAAGGCCTGCCTCACTGTCTGAGGCAGCCCACGCCCTGCTTCCTAGCCTTCAGCATCCTGTAGGTCCCACAATGCATGGTAGCTGCTCCCAAAATTGCAGCCATTTGCGGAATGGAGCTAGGCAACCTCCACTGTAGAGGAACAGGCCGAGGGGCAGAACAACCTGTTCTTCTTCTCCAACACAATCTCTGGAACTCCAGAGATCACACTGGGGAAGGAGAGCAGGCCACTCAGCCTCTCAGCCTCGTGGGGGCCATTTGGGTCTGCCTTGGAAGCAGAGACCATTTTGGGAGTGGCCACAATGAACTGGGGGCTGCTCCGAAATGATGTCGACTTCCTGGACACAGCCATATGGTTTTCACTATGTAGGAAGGCCACGTGGTGGACTAGCTGCTTCCAGAAGGAGATCTACAGCACCAAAATGGTAACTGACTCATCAGTGATGGAGGTAGGAAAGAGGCCACAGGGACCCAGTGGGACCATATGGCAAGAATATAGGAGAGGAGACCACTACAGCATCCCTTGTAAAGGCAGGCGGATTGCCAAAACCCAAATATTGTTCACACAATCATGGGAGTATGGCAGCAGTCATAAATTCAGGCAGGAGTCATAAGCCCCTTCATTCAGTACTTTCAAAATTTCAAACAGTGTGTGTACAAACAGTTGATGGCCCCCTGCACACCTTAAAATGCAAAAAAAGATTGTTGGTATCTTTAGGAACTTTTTTCCATTTCCAAAGCGTTCTTACTTTAATTTTATAATACATGCCGCTTAGAAAGAAGTTATCCTCAAAATCATTATGAATTACTGACATTGTGTTTGTGTATACTACGTTTCATAGAAAAATATTTTCCATATAACTCATGTGAGGAATCTGAATTAACTTAAGCACGACCACTCTTATTTCCATTCTCTGCTTGAACCAACAGTTGCTGGCAGTTTGGTCTTCGATCATGTGAAAGGCTGGTATACACATCAGAATGAATTCAATATTCTCTTCCTGTGCTTTGAAGAAATGATGCAGGTGAGACTCTTCACTTCTTTTCCCCACTTATTCTTTCGCCAAGGTCAGTAGGATTCAGGGGATAGGCCTAGACAAATAGGGATGGCAGCTGCAGGTACAGTTCATTTTTATCTGTGGTTGAACATTTGTGAATGTTCTGGACAACCTAACTTTTACATTTTTGTAGGGTTTGGCAATGCGCTTAAGTCAACAATAGGCCAAAAGACTATTCCATGAACATACAGACAAGATGCATGTAAGGAAGGCCAGACCTTGGGGAAGGTATGGCATCCTTTTATACCTTCAGAGACATCAGCTTAGTACCCATTTCTGGCCCCCTGGCCCATGCCGTCCTTGTAGCCCTGCATTGGCTGTGCAGCAAGGAACGGGGGGGGGGGGCTGGGTGTTTAGCAACACAGTATTTGCCTGGTGTAACCCTGTCAAACTATGACATATTCCTTTCCAGGCACTGAGTTATGCAAAAAAAAAACAAACACAAAAAACCAAGATAACAGGAATTAGATCATTATGTCCCTTTATTCTACCTATTCTACTATTCTGTCCCTTCCTTTTCAAGGACAGAAGAGTTCATGCCTGTTTTTCTTTTGCACTCAAACTATTCCAGCAAGTTAGCCAAGAATTTACTGCTGCCGCAAGAGACACACTGTTGGCTGTCTCCAATGCTATCTGACAAACACTTGATCACTATTCCTTTGCACTCAACAATGATTTTGAATTGATGGATCCCTGTGCTCTCTTCCCTTCTACAAGTTATGCAGCAGTTTACCACAACACTTTTCCACACTATTCCCCACATAAAGGGAGGTGCTTAGCCCAAGCCTGGGAAAAGAGCCAAGATTTTAGAGTTCACTTCAAGGCAGAAGACGTGAAGAAGAACTGCATTTCTAAGAGGATGGTGATTTAGGGAAAAAATACTATGATAAAGAAGGCCAGCTTCCCTAGTCCTGCTAGAGATGATCACCAAGTATTAAAGAGCTAGCTCTGTCAGATCACACAGCACAGCCACTACAAAAGACCTTGGGCCTCTCCAATACCTGGGATATTTAGGGTTTTGTAGGTAATGCCTGTAGCCTGAATTATGCTCTGGAACTTACTAGTAACCAATGCAGCTGATGAAAGAGTGGTGTTACATGGTTATAACAAGGCCTGTTCATCACTCTGCTTGTACAACTGTAGCCCCATGTAGAGTATATAGCAACCCACAAGGTGACCAAAGCATGAGTGATGAGAGGCCCAGTAACCAGGGGTGGGATTCAAATTTTTTAACAACCGGTTCTGTGGGCATGGCTTAGTTGGTGGGCATGGCTTGGTGGTCATGTTATTGGCTGGGTGTAGCCAACTCAATATCACTCACATCGAGGCACGCATCTCCTTGCCTGGCCTCTCGTGACTGTGGGGATGCTGCAACAGTCGTAAGTGTGAAAAATGGTCATAAGTCACTTTTTTCAGTGCCATTGTAACTTTGAATGGTCACTCTACACAAGCAAAATACCAGCAAAGGAGGGGGGGGGGGGAAATTCCAGAGAAGTTCCAGAGACAAGAAGTCTAGTCCTGCCAAGAATGTAATAAGAGTTAACGGAGGGGTAGTTTCTGTAAGGAACACCAGAATGTTTCCTTCCTGTCATCCTTACAGGATTAGGCCAGTAATTTCTTCTAACAACCGTTTCCCCGAACTGCTTAGAATGTTAACAACCGGTTCTAGCGAATAGGTGCGAACTGGTAGAATCACACCCCTGCCAGTAAACTTTTTAGCACATGGATTTTGATGGTTTACTTTGATAATGTCACTGATTGATACCCATTATAAGTTAGTATATATAATAACTACTTTTCTGATGACATTCATGGGTATATGAACATTCCTATATTTATATATGTAGACAATGCCATGTTATTGGATGATAACTCAAATGATTCTCATTGATTGTTAGAAGAAATGTAGAGAGATATTGATTTGAAAATTAATATAAATATGGATTGAATCATTGAACTCTTTGAAATATTTAAATCCATGTAATTAGCAGAATTGAATTAAAGAGCAGAAAAAGTTTAAAATGTATGAATGCTGATAGATAGGTATAAAGGTAGGAGATAAAATGGTGCACTGACAAGAAGGAATATTTGGGAAAAAAAATAGAGTGAGAATGACTGCATATAAGAGCATGCTTTGCTCACTTTGTTAAAAGAAATTGAGATTTGGTCAGGAGAAATATAAATTTAAGTTGAGGGGAACTGTAAATAGGTGATGAAACAAGAAGAGTTAGCATTAAGATTTAATAAGTACTGAATGAATGTGGATTAAATACCTGTATAAGAGAAGCACATTTGTTGAAATGATTTAGTCATATTAATCAGGATAAATAACATAACAAATATTTGAAGGAACAATTAATGGATGCAGAAGAAGACAGAGAAAACAATAGTTAGATGAAGCTGATAGGGTTGGAATGGTATAGTGCACAGTATTTAGCTTAGATTTAACCATAGTTCCATTTATTTCTCTCCTGCTTGCCTTATTCCTTTTGTGTGCTTTGTATAACATTGCTTGTAATCAGATGAAAAGCATGATGGGAAGGGATGTATACTAATTGGTTGATTAGTTGGTTTATATATGATGTCCAGCTCACTATAACATTTCTAGATGAATAACATAAGCTATAAAGCACAATATAGAGCCGAAAATACATTAATAAGATCTATAATTGTTTTTTTAAAAAACAAATTTTATTAATTTTCAAAGACAACACACAGACAAACAAAACATAAAACATAAAAACATAAAACATCTTTTCTGAAAGCTGCTTGATCCCGGGTTACATCTCTTCATACAGACACAAATTCAAATTCATGTTCATTTTATATACCATTCCATATCTTATTACCATTTTACATTTTCTATATAGCTTCTCCCCTCTTTTAACTTTCTTAGTTTTATTTTATTTATCTTATCTCAGTTCAGATCATTATGCTTATTATTCTTTGTCTGTTCTGTTTCCAGCTATCTATTCATCTTTTCTCTTTAAACAAAATTTCTCCTGTACACTAATTGGAGTATGACGCCTTTATCTCTT